CAGCCATATGCACTGACAGCTCTCTCTATCCCCGATTCCATCTCTGTGTCTCTCCGCCTGTCTGTGTTCTCTTGGTCTCTCACTGTCTCTCTGTTCTCTCCCTCTCTCTCTCTATTGTGCCTTTGTCACTGTGTCTCTCTGATTTTCCAACTGCCAAATGTACACAGTTCAGGAGCAAGGCAGAACTTGGATTTTTACAATGCCCTTCCGCTTAGCAGTTTGTGATCCTGACATGTCTCTGATGGGCAGTTTCCCCATCTTTAAAAGGGAGGTAGTAATACCAGTCTTGTTGAGTTGCTAATAGAATAAACTGAAATGAAGGAAGAGTATGTATTAGGCCACTCAGTTCCTGCCTCATAACAAGGGTTTAATAAACGTTAGTCCCCTCCCACATCGCCAATGTACTCTGCCCTCATGATATATAGAATCCCATCAGTCTGTCGGCTTTCCTCTAGTGTGGCCTGCCCTCAGCCCATTTTCAGATCAGCCCATGGAGCCATGACTGGCTGGAACCATTTTTCATCCAATTGGTCTCATTCCAGCAGTTTCATGAGGCCTCTTGCTATAAATCAGTCTGAGAAAATAAACGTCCCCAGTCCATTAGTGCCTTTCCACCCCATGCCAACTGGGGCCACAAACCAGCCAAGGCTTGTTAATGGCCACTTGAATCCATTCCCACAGCCCAACCTGGAGACCCTCGGCCTCACGTTCTGCCAGCTCCTGCCCAGGAGAAGCCCTATGGTAACAAGACTCCTGACAGCAAAGGCACTGACCTGATCCATATCAGTCAGGGGACCACACACCTGGTTTACCTAGGGCAATTCCAGTTTGCTCCTGTAGTCCTAGACTAATTCCTTCAGCGCCCCTTTGGAAAGAGTTCCAGTTTGAATGCTAAACCGTAGAGAGTATCTATGGAAACCAAAAATAACCATTTAATAACAGCTATCATTTATTGACCACTTGCTATGTGCCAGGCATTGTCAGAAAGGCCTTTATGCACTATATCTCATTTGAGCCCCGTTACAACACTACAAAGAAAGGGGCTGTTATTACCTCCATTTCACAGGACACTGAAGTTTAGAGGGTAAGCCACATGTCCAAGGTTAACTAGTATAGAAGGCACACTGTGCCTCACCCTGTCCCTTTCACTAGGCAGTGCACCCACCCACCAGCTCCCGGGAGTATGGGCTCCTCGCTCGGAGCAGTCCCCTCTCCTGCTTCCCCACTTCCAAGGGGAACTGCCCTCAGTCAAACAGAAGCCAAGTCTGTTGTAGGTTCCCTGCCCCCACTCAGGAAGTAACCCACGTCCCAAAACTAACTGAAGAAAGTGGGAAGGAGGGGCAGTGTAGAGCTACAATAGATTCCCCCCACTGCTTCTAGGTCAGATGGACTCTGAGGTACAACTCATGCTCCAGAATTCCTGATGGGATCCAGTGAAACCACATCCTTACTTAGCCTCTCTCCCTGTCCCCATCCCGCTTCTCTTGCTCCCATTATCCTAGAAGCACCCTCAATCAGCCACTTAAAAAAGCATCCCTGTCTCAGGCTCTGTTACCAGGGACCAGACCTAAGACATCCAGTTAGCAAGTGGCAGAGCTGTGACTCATGTCTAGGAAGGTCTTACTCTTAATCACTAAGAAGCCGTGACATGATATTGCCTGATTATAACATGATTAAAATGATGGCCTCCAAGTTGTCTAGCTACCAAGAACCATGTCATGTAGGCACAGTTCATGACAACAGTCACAGCAATAGCTACTATTTATTTAGTGCTAACTGTGAGCCAGTCTCTTTTTTGCATCCAGTCCTCTCAACACCATGAAGTTCATCTTCCTATTCCTATTTTGCAGCCAAGGCATGGAAAGCTTAGAGGAGGTATGAGACAGGTCCACTGAAGCTGCATAGATAGAAAGGGGTGGTGCCTGGGCTTCCAGCTCCACCTGTCCCCAAAGGCCGTGCGCCTCTTCAGCGTGGCTGCCCACATCACCTGCCGCGTAAACTCTTCAGAGAATGGTTGGTGGAAGGGGTTCCGCATCAAAGGTGATGCTCTTGTAACAATTTAGACAGAAAACTTTCCTCTCCCTCTTATCCCACACTCCCTGAGTTGGTTCTTTTTGTGCTGTATTTGACCATCACGGCTCCATTTTAGAGGATAAGCTGTATTACTCTGGAAACAGCCATAGAGTGTTCCCTTAAGCCAGACATAAAAAAGATCAAAGGAGCCGTATTCACTGAAAAAGGGAAAGCAAGCACACATGCCAAAGGTCCGGAAGGGTAACTAGCATTTCTTGTGGCTTTACCATGGAGAGAGACATAGAATAAAAGGAAAACAACAGAGTTTTAAGGAGAGACAGACCAGGATTCAAGTCCTGGCTCTTCTACCTGTGTGATGACGTTGGCAACTTACTCAGCATCTCTAAACCCCAACTTGCTCTACCACAATACCGATTTCATTAGCCCATAAATGAGAGGGTGTAAATGAGATACAGTATGTATTTCCCCTGCCTCTTCTCTTCCATTTCCATAAAATTTGTAGAGAAACCAATCTGGACCTTCATTCCAGGTCTGAATACTAGTTCAGATGGACTATGCTTTATTCCCAAGCAAAAAAGCATATCCTATTTGATGATAAAAAGGTTTCCATTAAAAATAGAAAGCAGATAAAAGGCGGACCTTGGTCCAGGAGGCCGTCCACTGATTCATAAAAATACAGATTGAGTCACGCTAGCTCTCAAGGCTAAACTTACAACCCATGGGCATCTCTGGCCAGCCTATCCCAGCCCCCGGGAGAAGGAGGAGGAGCCCGGCAGGCAATCTTTGCACACCTATTCTGATCCCCCCTCGCAAAACCAATTAACTCTGCTTCCAGCATAGTGAAATGAAAATCAATCTGGGACTTTTGCAACACTGTGTTCCAAATGCTCCCCTAGGCCTGGCTGACTTCCTGAACAACTGCGTGAGGGGTTCACAGTGATTCCTGTGTGTGTGCGTGTGTGTGCACACAGCTCCAGTGAAGAACAGGATCGTGTGTCTGGCTTTGAAAAATCAATCTCCTCACCTTCATCTTGACATTTATTATTACAAATGCTTCGGCTCCTATCAGCATTTATGCCCTTAGCATAAGGCTAGAGAATTCAGACCTATCGGCACTGCAGGTGATGCTCTTTTTTTTGAAAAAGTAGCTTCAACATTTTCGATCCCTGCATACATACTCAGCCAGAGCCCTAGAGCCCTCAATTTGGATGGAGAGTGAACAATTTTGTATATATGTATACACACGTACATAAAATATTTTTGGTTGGTGGTTAAGGAAGGTGAATTATCAGTTCCTGGTTTTAATTGCACTAGACAGACATTCTTCCATCAGCAAGTGAAGAAAAGTAATGACACAACAATCCCCCTCCGAGCACCTTTCCTCAATCCGTCCATTCTGCAGTAACTTATTTAGGGCGTACTGTGCTGTGCACTGGGGATTTACCTGTGGAAAGGGCAGACGAGAACTCTGCCTTCAAGGATCCATCAGCTTGGTTCAGCAAGAGTTAACAAAACAAATATATAGGAGCCCCAGTTTGCAAAAGCCTCTTCCCTTGCCCTGAATTCTCCAGGGAGAGGCTGGAGAGTCCTGTTGAGAATCAAGCATGACCAGCTACATATGTGCAGACCAAGAGGTGACCGTGCCCGCTTCTCTCACTAGCTGCCATCCAGTCTGACAAGTGAAAAACCTGCCCCTGCTCTCAGAGTAGCAAGGCAGGTGAATCCCCTTTGCATTTTTCTCACCTCTAGATACAGTCCCAGGTTCTGGGTTTGGGGCTCTAACCTGGGAACCACTGAGCTGGCTGCTGTGTTAAATAAAGAGCAGTGTCTGTTGTGGGATTGAAAACGTATAGGTGGGAAGGGATAGGCCCATCTGACTGTGCTAACAGCAAGTTTCCCTGAGGAGCTTTCCAGGCTGCTGCCTGGAGAACTGAGTGTCGGGTCCAGTGAACGCTCCTGCCTGACCTCAGGGAAATGATCCTGCAGTGAGAGCAGTCAGCATGGCGGGTGGGGGTGGATCCCAGCTGGGTTTGGGTCTCAGGAAGTTCCCCCAGGAGGAGGGAGAACAGAAAGGCACTCAGACTGGTGAGCGCCATCCGAGACAGGAGCAGGAGTTCAGAGAAGACTGATCAGGTTTGGTTTCTCCCCCGTCCTCAGAGAAACAGAAGATGCAGTGGGAAAGAGGAAGGGTTGGGCTTCGGCCTTGACCCCACCCCCACCAAGCTTAGAAGCTTGGTACCTGACTCCCTGCTTCCCATTCCAGGCTACAAGGAGGGAGATGTGCAGGAGCAGGGAGGAAGGACACTGTATTCCCCAGCTCCGCATCCTGTCCCCAGCCCCATCAGGGCATAGAGGTGACAAGGATGATCAAATCCTGGCCATGGCACTTCGTGGCGGCACGGCGATCTTGGACAAATCTCTCTCTCTCTCTCTCTCTCTCTCTCTCTCTCTCTCTCTCTCTCTCTCTCAGCCCAGGTCCCCGTAACGGGGGATGCTGAGGGTAGCTAAGGCACCGGATCCCAGGAAGTATTAAATAAGATCGCTCACACAAAAAAAAACAACTCTAAAAACGATGGCTGGTACACAGTAAGCGGACGGTTATTATTATTTTTTTAACCATGTTACCATTAACCCTCCTATCCTGGCAGCTGCTCGCTCCCCCAGCGCAATCTTCCAGACTCTGAGTGCTGAGCGCCACCATCCACCCGTCGCGTCCCCTTCCGAGAGCTCAGTCTCCACGGGTCACTCCTAGACCCGGCTTGGGGAGGGTAAATGTCACCTCTCAGCATGCTCCCCAGCATCAACGGCGACTGGCCGCGGGGAGGTGAGACCCAGGTCAGGGCTCGGAGCTGGACGCCGGGGAGGCGGTACCGCCGTCGCGGTCCCCACCGAGGCTCTGCCACTTCCACCCCACGAGCGCCTAGCGCGCAAAGAGAGAGAAAGCAAGAAAGGCGCGGATACTGGACCAGGCTTTGACGCGGATCTTGAGCTCCCCATCCTGCGGCTCGGGCATGGCCTTCCTGGTGACCCGCAGCTTGTTGAGCCCCCCGAAGCCTGCCAGCACCACCGCCCGCATCTCCTGGGCGTCCCTGAGTCGGTGCGAGCCGCCGCCGCCGCCCTCCGCCGGCTCCTTGCCTGCCTCCTTCTCGATCATTTGCTCAGTCTCTTCCGCCTTCTCCACGCCTTCCTTGGCCATGGCGCTCGAGGGCGCGGGACGCACGGGCTGCAGCGGCTGCGGCGCGGGGGGCTCGGAGCTCCTCTTCCGCGGGTTCCTCCTGTTGAATGTGGGATGCTCAGCTGTGCAATGGCTGCAGCCTCTGCGAGCGGCGCCTCGGTCCACAGCCTCCGCCGTAATCCTCCCAAGAGCCGCGCCCGAGCCCGCTCCCCTCCTCTCTTCCCTTCCAAAAGAAGCCTCAACTCCGGTTTCCGAACCAGTCTCCAATCAGGATCATGATCGCAGCCCCAGAGCCAAATTTGCCCAAGATTCTTGAATAAAACACAAAGAAAGGCCGCCGTGTCCTCCGCTCTGGGCGCAGTATTTGGTTATATACGGCGCAGGCTCGGGGCCTTGAAATGGACAGAGATGAATGTCTGGGCCTGGAGGTTGTCTCTCCGCAACGTACTCGCCTTCTCACCCACCAATCTGCTGGAGTGGACAGGATAGACGGGAAATCGGGCTGTTTCCCAAACCGCGGTTCCTGGCTGGAAGGACAGAGAGGTTCGGGAAGCCGGGGGCAAGAGATCCCGCTCACCGATCTGAAAGTCCAAACCCAGAGTCGTTTCGCTCCGGGCATCACTAGGAAAGTCATATCTATGAGGGCTAATTCTCAGCAGCCGCATCACCTCAGGCCATTATAAACAGAGCTCTCTGCACTTCCTCCCCAACAGTCTCTCTCTCTCCTCCCTCCGCACTTACTCTTCCCCCCACCCCGTCTCCCTCTCCCTCCACACATGTAACTGGCTTTATGCTTTATTTTTTTGTTATAGAGCAATTCGAAAAAGAGCTCGTAGACAAACTTGGATTTTCAAGACAAAAAGTTCGGGGTCTCCGTGCTCCAGTTTAAAAAGACCTCGCAGAGAAATGGTAGGTTCATGCTCTAGTCGCTGTGCAGACACTGCCAGCCTTTCCTATGATTTCCTGATAATGTCTGTTTCCTTTTCCCAACTGTGATCTTCATGCATTTTCTGCCTTTTCTCCAGCATGGTTTCCCCAGGACCTTGCACATGATTGTTTTATAGTAGAAAATGCTCAGAAAATGCTCGTTGAATGAACGAATGAGTCAGGGAGTGCGCATGCTATGGTGGGAGCCCAGATGAGAGAACTGTTGACTTGCCCGGGGAACTGGAGAAGTCTTCATGGGGGGGGGGGGGCACTTTGAGCCAGACCATGCAAATGAGGCTGGTTCTTCAGACAGGGAAAACCACATGGACATTCAAACACATCAAAAGGTGTTCGAATGTAACTAAGTATCTCCAAGAGGTGACTAGCGAAAGGGCTTTGAGACAACACTGGCTTTTTCTGTGTGGGCTGAGCATCAGCTGTGTTTAGCAGTCACCGGAAATGAGGCTGAAAGGTTGCTTGGGACCAGTTTTCGAGGGTTTATACATAGCATGTTATAAAATTTATTACATAATGGGGAAGGCAATGAAACCACTGAAGTCTTTAAAATAGAAAAGAAAACAACAACAAGGGAACGGTATTACCAGAACTGCACTGTGGGATGATAACTTTGGTAGGTGGGTGTTGAATTAGGACGGCAGAGGCTCTGGAAGCACGGAGAGCAGTCAGAGACTATGGGGCAGAAAAACTAAGTGAGCAGGGCCTCCTCCGAGGCGATGGCTGTGGGACAGAAGAGAAGGGGGTGAAGGAAAGCTGAATAGACAAGGCCTGGTTCTCAAATTGAACATTTTACAGCAAGCCAGGATTTTTCAACCCTTTTCATCTCATGGCACACAGAAACTAATTCCTAAAATTCTGTGGCACCGAATTTAAAACATTTTTTTGCTGATCTGACAAATATAGCTATAATTTTGACTCATTCACATAGGGTGGTTATTGTTGTGTGGGCTCTTGGCATTTTTTATTCGACTCTCTAAGGGAAGAGAAGTCAGTGCCCCTGACCAAGTACTCAGGCGTCGCACATTGACAACGTTTGCGGCACACCAGTGTGCCACACCCCACAGGTTGAAAATCGCTGCTGTAAGCCCACTGTCCAAGTGACTAAGCCTGTTAACAGTGTGAGTATAGTGTTGAGGTTGGACTTCATCCCGAAACAAGGTTTTGAGTGCCAGCGGTGGGATTTGGGGGTGCTCCCAGGAAGCTCCCATTAGGAAGTAAGAAAGTGAGACAGGAAAGTGAGAAAAGCCAATGCAGGTGCTCTAATGGGCAGGTTTCCGCAGGGGCAAGTGGGGCTCAGTCCCATGGGAGACCCTCGAGAGGCAGCGTAGAACAAAGCTCAGACTCGTCCTGCTTAAGGTGAAGAAATGGACATTTATTGCTAAGTTTTCTGCATGATTGGCTAAGGTCTGTTCCTGGAAGTGTTAACTTCATGGCACTTTCTTCCTGCTCCATTTACCTGGGCTGAGAGAATCCACAGGCAGAGAACTTCAGATACTCTCCATAGGAAGCCATTATCCAAACCAGTAATGGTGAAGTCCAAGGGGGTGTGGGTTCAGCAGTGATAACATCTGCTATATGGTATTATTTGGGGGGTGTTCCGTTCTAGACACTTCAGGTATGTTTGGTAATTTGATTCTTAGAATAAGCTTATTAGGTAAGCATTGTTATTCCCACTTTTCAGAAGAGGAAAGTGAGTCTTAACATGGTGAACCATCGTGCTCAAAGGAACACAGTGAGCATGGTGAGACAGATACAAAACCAACTCCAAATTGGTGCTCTTGACATGTCACCATGCATGTTTATTAGGATAGGCCAAATCAATTCTTCCCCTGATTGGTAATACAAAGAGGGACCCCCCCAAAAAAAAACCAGAATTATCTTCTGGAGGGTGGGCCCCTCATAGTACAGGCTTCCCCTGCTAGGAGAGTGTTCTAGGAACCCATCTGTAGCAGTGTACCAGCTGGTGTTGTTGTGAGAGGCTGTGTTTGACTTCAGTGAATTTCTTTTTGAAGACTCAATGAGTTTGCTCATGTACAAGCGCACCTATCCACACTGTGCTGAGTGTTCAGCAGTTTTCTGACCAAAAACAACAGGACTCCTGTGCCCCACCCTTGCTATTCACCTGATCTTGCCCCAAGCAACTTTTTTGTGTGTGTTTCCCTGGATGAAAAAAGTCCTCAAAGGGAAACATTTTGCTGATGTGGAAGAGGTGAAACAAAAAACAGCAGAAGCACTAAAAGCATCAAAATCAACGAGTTCAAAAACTGTTCTGAGTGGTGGGAAAAAAGTCTCAATGGGTGTATTACATCAAATGGAGAGTACTTAAAAGGTGACTGAAGTTTAAACATGTAAGAATAAATACACACTTTTTTATATATTAACTCCAGGTTTTTCAGGTCCCCCCTCTTATTCCATGGCATGTTTGATGTTCTCTGCTCTTTTGTGGGCCTCCTCATGTCTGTCCCACCAAAATCCCCCGCCTTTTAGCATCGGTAACATAAATCTACTTTGCACTCAGCACACAGCATATTTAAGAGAAAACATTTGCCCTACAGTTTGTTAAAGGGAATATAATTGCTCTCTCCAAGGGAATCTTCTGGCAGTTTACGAGCCCCACACTGTAATTGGTACGCCGCTGGTTTCACAACGACCGGAAGGGAACCCAGCGCCGTCTGTGCGGCCTGGGGAGCAACTCTTCCTTGGAGCCTGCACTCCGCGGTTCCGGTGGCTGAGTACCCCCAAGTCTGATCCTCCCCAGAGGGATGTCACGAGAGACATCCTGCAAGGCATCTCTTCAAATAAACACAACAAATCTATTGATTCCTTGGGCATTCACTTAGAGCTTCTTCAGTTGTGAAATACGTTACATGTAGGTCCGTGTCAAACAGCGGCCACTTCTGGTGAAACACAGCATTACAGCTCAGCTCAATGAACTTGTACATGGCCTGGGAACAGGTGTACGTGCCTGTGACAGGAATGTGGAGGGTCAAATTCAGGAATGCTTCAAGGTGTTGGTCATCTGAAGGGAGTGCCACCCAACAAAGGTTAAGTATTTAAATAAGAATATATGGGGAACGCTTTTAGTATGATTTTAGAAATGTGTTTTAAATAACTTGGGATGGCTGGGTAATATTCTGGTGAAATATATTACCTGGGGCAGACCCTCAATGTCTTTAACTATATCCTTTAATATTTTATGTATTGCCATTTACTCAACACAATGAAAATAAATAAATATTACACATATATCATTTGATCTTCAAAATAATCCTGTGCCGTACATACCATCATCCCTATTTTACACAGGAGGACATTTACTAGGAACCGAGTAACTTTCTCAAGGTCACCTGCTTAGTCAGTGGCAGAGTCGGGATTTGAGGAGGGGGCCATTTGACTCTGCAGTGTGGCTTCTTAACCACCGTGCTGTAATGTCTATGCTGCTGTACCTTTCAGAAATGACATGGAGTGGGTCAAGAAGGAGACACATTCAGAAGGTCAATAGTGAAGAGAGGCAGCAGATTCTGGCAATGAAGTATCTTAGTAAAATCCAGGGGCTCATACTAAAGGATATGTGCCTAATTCCTGATAGTTTGTGTTGATGCCGTTTAAGAGACAACAGAGCATGAGCTCCGTGAGCACAGCACTATCTTCAGAGAAGCACTGGGTAGCTGTGCAGCCCCTGCTGAACGTGGTGGGATAAACTGCCTGTTCGTGTCTTGTAGGACCAGTTGTAGGCCGCAAACTCTAGGTATGTCAATAACCTTGAGTTATTAATAAGTACTGGAGGTAGAATGGTGAAAAAGACAAACATATTCTCAGTCCCAATGGAGCTAGCACTCTAACCAAAGAGACACATATTGGTTTAGGTTGGATTCCCCAGAAGCAAACCTTTCTTAATTTAAGGATCTGAGTGCGAACAGTGTATTTGCATGGTGGTTCCAGGAAGCGGGAGTCTGTGGAAATGAGACAGGAAAGGGGAGGAAGTCAGTCCAAGGTGTATTACCTCACAGGCTATCCCTGTCATTAACTCAGATTAAATCCTGCTGGGTGACTCTCGGTGACTCTAGTACAGAACAGGCTTCAAAGGTATCCCAGTCAAGGGGCAAGGTGCATGGAGTATTCGCCGACTCCTGCCGGTCCTTGGTCGAGGGATGTTGATGGGG